ATTTTTCAGGGAAAAAAAAAGGCCCCCTTTTACACCCAAAAAACCACATTTTTATGCAAAAGAGGCTCTTTTTTGTTGGTGTTTTGACTGTTTTACCCCTGGATTTTAAGTTGGGAATATTTATCCATAAAAGGTAAAACAGTCATTAATCACTAAAAAGGGACTATTTTTTCACTTTATTTTTAAGTGGGAAAAACTTAACCCCCAACACCTACATAGGGACCATGAGCCATTTCCATGCTTATTTTTTTATCCCTACCCAGCTACCCGACCCTTAAAAATTTTAAGATCTCGTATGTCGGTCGAATAAGTAAATAACTTGAGGTCTGACTTAACAGTTTTGGGGTCTTCATGAAAGAATGTCATTGATAGCTTGAGATCTGACTAATGGGTGAAGGCCCATTTTTGTGGATAACTCCTTAATTTGTACAGTTCTGGATAATGGACACGGCCCATTTTAGTGTCTCTACTACTGGCTAGACTCCAAAGTCAAAAGGGTTTATGAGCCCAGCAGCAAAAGCCCCATGTCTCCATGAATCCATGATTCTTCAATGGAACTCATTTGCAGAAAGGCCAAAATGTTAAATACTGATCATAAAACAACTTCTCCAGTATTGAGTGCATTTCCCATCACCCTTCATAGTGCATGTTCGATGATCAATTGGATACATGATTGATCACTAATTCACTATATGGTGTCAAATCATTAGAAATTGTCATTAAGTAAGACCAAGACATCGTAGATAGATAGCTTTGGCCATTGTAACTCAAAACTACTTCAGAGTAGGCATAGTAGGCTTACAGTCGATCAGTAGCTCAGTCTGAGTGCTCATCTTTCAGTTTCAGACTACATGTATTTGAAAAGATGCAAGGGATTGGGAAGGCCAAAAGTGCAATCAGTTTACCCAATTTGGGCATTGTACTATAAATGTAGGATGTGTTGTGTGTACCAAATAGTACCAATAGATCAAATGGAATCCTAAGTTGCAAATGTACATAGAATATATATTTATGTGAATAGATGATGATGATGATCTTGTCTACCATTGTTCCATTAAACTTTTAACTGTTTTTTTCTCCCCTTCCCATCAAACTTTAAAAGGAGATTACTTATTACATCTTTTGATTTCTCTGTTCTGCCCCACTGTCAGCCTAAATCCATTATGATAAACATTTCTTCTATAGTCCAATGTTTTGATTTGTGTTATGTAGACTCACAGTTAGAGAGATCTTCATATGAGCATATTCACATTGAGTGTAAGCATACTTAGTGAATTGAAGATCTCTTTCACTTGGGCTTATGTAGTACTTGGACCCAAATCACCCAAACAATAGACTTCAGGTGGTTGCTTATACAAACACACAAGTCTTTGTTTATTTTAGGAGCAAATCTTCATGGCAATCCAGCACAAAAATGTTAACTTTATCATCTAAACACACTTTTTAAATAGTAATGTAACCATAAAAAAACATGGAATGGGAAATCTTAAACAACCTTTTGTTGGGATTGAGTTTGTAATTTTGAAATGGTTGACAAAATAGTTTACAAAACTCTTTAACTTTTGTTGATTTCAAGTCTATAAGTTCAGAGATCAGAGATCACAGATCACTAGCTCACCAACCAAAACAAACAAATGAAAGAAGTTTTTCTTCAAACACATAGTAATATATAGTAGTATAGTACTACTACTACTAGTCAAAAAATTTCATTAATGTCTAGAGATTGGCAATCAAACAAACTTTTATGCATGGATGGTAGCAAACATTCATGCAAGAATAGGCGTGTGTGCCGGGCGTGAAACCGGGATTGCCAGAAACTGTCAAACTTAAAACAAACACGTGTGTACAGAAAATTTCTGTAAAATCACTCTAATTTACACTGACACACATCATATTCCCAATAGTTCTTCTGACAAATCTAAAACCAAGTTGACTCTATGGTTTCATTGCCCCCATAAACATGGAATATAGCTTTTAAATAAATTTTAATTAATATAGGGGCCCTTTTCTTTCATTTTCATATCTTGGGCCCATATTGGATAACTGATTTGGTCTATGATTGTGTATTTTGAATCATTGTAAATACTGTATATAAACATGTGTATACCTAAGCAAATCACTGTATGCACTTTGGTCCAGCTGGTTAATACGTTACCTTCCGGTAAAGGTCACGATCGAATTCGCATTCGCGGTGGGACTGGGAGCATTGCAAAGGTATTGTGAATTCATGGTACTGTGTGGACTGTGGGACTGATCGAATTCGCCAAAAAAAATCAACATTGGGGGTATTTGCCAAGAGTAACCATAATCTGGGAGGATTTGATTAATTTTCCCTACATAAAAGCTAGCTCTATAGTCTTCCTTCAATTCGGATATCTACATTAGCAGCTCTACTGTTTAATAAAATTGGCAGTTGATTGTTTGATATAAGTTTTACCATGTAATTTAAAAGGGGTAAAAGTCCCTTAACTCTGTTTACCAATCAATAAAAATAAAAGTAACCCCTCCCCCCTTCCCCATTTTGCCTCAAGGCCACATAGTGTTGATTATACAATTTTTATGTACATTTTCTTTAATTTTTTTACATTATTAACCCTTATTAAA